GAAAAAAAGAAAAAAAGAAAAAAGAAAAAATTCACAAAAACACCTTCCCTTCTTCCATCCTTTCTTTCGTTCGAATCACAGCCAGCTATGCATTCCATCCTCGTAAGAACAGCAACAACAGCAACAACATACCGGCCGGTATCAATCACAATCACCGACCGTACTCATTCTTCATCGGGTTCGGAATATGAAACTACTTACGTAAGCGAATAATTATAAAAAAAAATAAAAAAAAAATAAAAAAAACCCAGCAAAAGAACAACCCTCCGTGTGTGGGTTGAGAAACGCTCTCTGAGATGAGGATTTACTTTTCGATTCGACTCGGTTCTACCCTCCCTACCTCTCCTCCTCCCTCATCTCCCTCCTCTCCGCCCTCCGTCCCTCTTCCTCCCTTCCTCCAATTCGAATCGCATCGCCCGTATCGCCCATTTCATTTCAAACGCTCGATATAATTCCTTCATCCCATTTCAAACGCTCGATACAATTCATTCATTTCATTCATTTCATCCATCCATCCATCCATCCATCCATCCATCCATCCATCCACTCATCCACTCATCCACTCATCCATCCATCCATCCATCCACTCATTCACTCATTCACTCACTCATTCACTCAGATCCACATCCCGCAGCTATCAATCAATCTTTTCCATTCCCCATCTATAACCTGTATCTGAAAGTGCGTATCTGAAAATAAATATATATCCGAAAACATGTATCTGAAAAGCTGCTGTATCCGAAAATATGTATTAGAGAGAGAGAAGAGAAAAGGGATGGAAAAGTCAGAGGTACTTCACTTACTACACTTACTTCACTTACTTCACTTACTTACTTACTCTACAGCCTTCGGGTGCCCCGCGGGACGGTAGCAGAAGGTGGAATCGGGGCATATGATGCGAGGAGGAGGAAATTGAAGGTGGATTTTTTTGGTAGTGTTGGTTTGGTGGGCGCTAGAGTAGAGGAGGGAGGGGGGGAGGGGGGGGGGGGGGGGAAGGGGGCAGCTAGAGGAGGCGAGAAGGGGCGGGAGAAGGGGGGAGGAGAAGATAGATAGATACCTGTGTTTGCTGAGGAATCTTGGGCGGTGGATTTCATTGATTCGTACGGACGTACGTACGTACGTATCTATAAAGGGCTCTTGATTCTACAATGATCGAAATTAATAATTCGTCTGTTGGTACGGTATTAGGGAGAAGAATATAAATCCTATACCCACCCGGGGAACATGATATATCAATGACCGACTATCTAGCAGCCAGCCAACCCTTGTTCGAGCCTAAGCGCGCACCAAGGTCAAACCCTAGAGAGTCAGCTCGAGCCATGAGAACAAAAAAGAACGTGCAGTAAAAATGCAGAGGTGATTTCCATTGAAAGCCGCTACAGACCAACCCGAGAGCTGCCTTATCCGAGCCCTCCCTCTCCTCGGTCCTCCGCGTAGCTTTATCTCGTCGCAACCACAGCTGCCCTCCCGCTCTGCCTCAAAGACGCAGCTCTCTTCAAGACCGGCGGCTTCTTCTTCTCCTCCTCCTCCTCTTCTTCCTCGGAAATCTCCGGTAGGCTCAACTCGTCGTCGCTATCGTCGTCGTCGTTATTCGGATTCGACATACTGGCACTAGGCGCAGGGACACTCCCCTCTTTCTCAAACTCGGGCGCAGCTTTCTTCGCTGGCATCGCCGCCTTTCCAATCTTGCTCTTCGCCGGAGTCTGGTTCGCCCCCCCACTCCCGCCCGTCTCCTGGTTGAGCTCTTCCAGCACTTTCTTAACATCCGCCACACAATTCGCCTCGATCAACTTCTCTCTCACCTCATCAGAGAAAGGCTTCTTGTTCCTCGCCAACACCTCCTTCCTAGCCGCGAAGTTCGCCGGCGTCGGATTCCGGAACATCTCCTCCTCATCCACGCCCCCTTTTTTCTTAACCTCTCTCTTCCGAGGCCTCAGCCACTCCTCCATGCCCACCGGCCAGTACACCCTCCCCTCCTCCCCACCCATACCCACCTCTTCCTCAGGAACCAACTCTTTGACATCATCCTCCTCCAACATGTCACTCGTCCCCTTCCCAAACGCCTCAGGACCCATCCATGTCGGTCTCTTCTTCGTCGTCTTCTTCCCCTTCGCTGTCCTCGGGACCGGGCGATTGTCGTCGTCCCGCTCGTACGGAACGACGTTGCTAAAGGTGTCCCAGCCGGGCAACCTAAAAGTTCGCATCAGCTCGAAGACAGCCTGCTCCTTGTCCTTCGCCTCAATCATCAGGTCCATGTCATCTGCACATGGGGGCAGCGTGATCGGGCGCGGGTTATGTTTGCGTCGCTGCCGGCCGGTGATGGCGTCCGGGCAGGGCTCGCTGTAGTGCATCTTCTGCTTGATGCGTTTGCGGTCCCACGTCGCTTTGATGCGCGGGTACAGCGCTATGATGTCGTGCGTGCCCTCGCGGAGTTGCGAGCTGTCGAAGATGATGTTGTGGTGGTGGAAATCCAGACACAGGGGTATGTTCAGTTCTTCACATAGCGGGAGGAGATCGTGGACGGACCACGACACATCGTCATTCTCAAGCACGATGCGCTGTTTGATGGGTGCAGATAGAGTAGCGTAATTGGTGCGGAAGCGGTCGAGCGTTGCGGCTTTATCGCCGAACGTACCTCCAAGATGCAAGATCATGACGGCGTTCCTGTCCATCTGCTCTGGTAATTTGAGCAGGGAGAGCATCTCGTTGTGGTACTCGAGATCACGGACCGCGTTGGCGATGACTTCTGCCCGTGGGGAGCCAAGTTGTGTGAACTGGCCTGGGTGCGTGCTGACTCTGTGCCCCAGTTCGGTAATGACACGCCCGGCTTCCGCCAGAGCTTCGCTGGCAAATGGAGCGAGTTTATAGCCGTGTTCGGCGTGTGATGCAAAGGGAAACATTTCGGAAGAGAGACGCATAAACTTGATGCCGTACTTATCGTTCCACCGGAACATCTTTGGCAGATCTCGCACGTTAGCAAGGCAAATTTCTTCAACGTACCTTTGGCCACGTTCTATAGATGCTGGCTGGGACTTGTCAGGGCGGTTCTTGGTGGCGTGCTCGGGCTGAGAGGAGTTCTTGAGAGGATGGCGATGCTCGAGGATAGATGCTATGCGGCAGGTGCGGGAGGTGAAGACTGGGGGGTTGGATGAGCGAAGGTAAGTATTGAGACAGGCCTGTCAACAATCAGCATTTGTCACGACCCATAAGATATAGAGATACTTACATATCCTAGCCTTCCTTTCCAAGGCAAAGGTAAATAGTCTGAGTTGACAGGCGGCGGCCTCCTCGCCTCCAACTTCAGCACCTCCGTATCCTCAGCCGGGCCCTCATCATCTCCATCCGGATCCTGCCTCTTATCCCACTCATCCACCTCGTCCTCCTTCTTAACCTTAACTCCCGCTGCTTTTTGAGCAGCCTGTTCCGCTCGGAAAGCTTTGATCTCATCCGAGCCCTTCTTGGCCGCAATCGAGCTCTTGGTTGGACTTTTCTTCTGCTTCTTCGCAGGCGTAGAACTGGGCGTCTGGAGATCCGCTTTGGACGCCTCTATCCCATTTTCTTTCTTGACCTGACCATTCGTCTCGGACGCCTCTATCCCATTTTCTTTCTTCACCTGCCCATTCGTCTCCGGCGGAGCCAACGCAGCCGCATCGAAAGCCTCCCCCTTCTCATCCGCATCAGGACTCGCGCGCAGCGCAAATTTCCCATCCACGACGTCCGGGTTGCAGTCCGGATTCGTATCGACCGTGCCAGATCGAGGAGCGCCTCTCCTCAACGCAGGAGCGCAAGTCGCCTTGGGAGCATAGATTCGCCTCTTGTTGGGCAGCACGCCGGGAGGGACGTCCGCAGAGGCAGCAGCTACCGCCGTCCTCTTTCTCTTGGGAGGCATTGCAAGTGTATCTGGCACAGTTTGACGCGAGAAGTAGTTGTATCGGGAGGTGCGGAAGAAAAGACGTTTGGCTTTGTATGGGAAGAGAGCTCTGCTGGTATGCAGGCAGGAGGGACGGGGAGAAATGGACATTCAAATTGAAGTCAAGGAAAGGAAAGGCAAGGTATTGCTTCGGAACTTGAGTACATTGAAAAGGAAGACCGGCGTTACTTACCATTGAGACCTGTACTGGTTGTGCGTCTGTGTCTGCGAGGAACGACGTCACGCGTTCGGACGGAAAAGGGTCTGAGATTCGACGACGTCATGGCGTTTTACCTATGCTTTTCAATCACGTGAGGCTTACCTTTTGTTTCCTCGCCCCTTTTTAAGCGAGCTGGTGAGCCGGCTACCTATGCAATGAAGGCTTGCCTGTTCGCCAGAGAAATTACCTAGACGATAGCAAAGGGCAAAGAGCCAGCCATAAGCGACAAGAGCATAGTTCCATAGTTCCTTCCATTCAAGCCCGACTTCCAAAACGTCAAATCCATCCATCTTTTCTCATTATAATCTCTTCATCCCCATCCCAGACAGGAGACTTTCCACAAGGCCGATGGACAAAGCCAGTATGTACTTCGTAGATTCCTATAGCAGAGGACACCGTACATGGCTTTCATCTTTCTCACTAAGCGACCCTGGACTTTTCTCTCAAGAAAATTCGTCTCTCATTACCCTGCGCTAACTACATAAACTACCCCATCAAATCATTATAAACCCCAAGGATCCGATAAAATCAAAAGCCATATACGATAATGCAATTCCCCACATCGCAAGTGCCTCCCCCCTCCCTCCCCCATACCCAGCCCCAAATCCCCGTTTCTAGCAACTAGCGCGAGCTTCAAAAAACAATATACTCCAGCACACCATGTAACAAGAGCCAAAATACCCCCCCCATATCATATGCCAGCCCGCAGAGCATCTTGAACCAAACACCGTTCCGTTCACCTAAGCGCAATACCCGTACGCGGACCGACAACAATTCATGTGAGAGTCTTGAGCATAGCCTTGACTAGTCTCGGCGGCGGTCCTAAGAGAGCAAACCAGTCAGCCAACATCTCCTCCTAGGCCCCCCTCGAGGACAATCACCCACCAGAGAGGACAGCGCGCCTAATAGTACTTAGGTATGCTGATTGCCATCCTACCTTTTCTATCCTTCTGAATCCTCACACCTCCTTCCGGCTCCTCGATCCTCTCCGTGCGCACCATCGTGACCTCCTCACCATTCCGTTCAAAGCGGTCTCGTTCGTAGAGAACGAGATCGCTTTCCGAGGAGCGGCCGTGGGCACGGATGCGGTCTGCCTTGCGGAGTTCGCGATCCGCGCGCTTCTGAGCCCGGAGCGCTTCTTTTTCGGCTTCGAGGGCTTTGATCTCGGCGCGAATGGCGCGCTCGTCTTTCCGGTGGTCCTGGGGGCGAACGGCGAGGGTGAGAGGGCCGTTCGACTCGTAGACTTCTCTCCTCTCATAGACCTCCTCGCGGGGACCAGGGCCGGAGTTAATGATGACTGGCTCTCCACCATACTGTGAGCCCCCGTGTTGAGATTGTGCGGGGTGAGAGGATGCGGCCACGGATTCAGCTGGAGCTGGAGGGGCTGGAGGGGGTACAGAAGGTGCCACCGATGCTGGTGGTGGGGGAACGGTGAACACTTCGTGCCTTTCTTCGATAATTGTACCAGCTTCGGAGCGCGCCCCAGACATTTGAGCTTCTGCACCAACAAGACAGGTTGTTAGAGTTGTTTGCTTCTCCGTGACGGCTAGGACGGGCACATATTAAGCCAAAGCAAGAAGCAGGCTGTCGGGTTGAACAAGTAATGGAAAAGAGAAGGGAGACTCACTCTCGTCTGCAACTCTGTAGTCTTCGCTCAATTTGATCACTTCGTCGATGTTCTCCCGACCAAGCGCCTTTTGAATAATGATCACATCGCCCTGTTCGTTGTTAGCCTGGGATGGTCCAGGGTGTGAAAAACATACCTCTTCCTCAAAGGGATACCCTAAATCAATAATTGCCCTCTTATGCACAAGTCTGGCAGGCATTCTCGTTTTCCCCTTCTTCGGGAACTCGCTTCTGACACTGATCGTAGTCTCTTCGCTGCTAGACGAGCTCGTACTGCTGCTCCTCACACTGCCCTTGACACTGTGACTTGCCCTGCTAGTCCCGTGACTGTCTCTGCTCCGGCTCCTTCTCCTCCGTCGAATGATCTCCCTCTCCCGAACCCTCTCCGGATATCCCCTGAACGAGTCATCACCGTAGTAATCCGGCTCCGCAATCTCGATATCATCATACTCCCTCTCATAGTACCGTCTCGGCGGCGGTAGGCCTCTCGATCGCGGCAGTGGGATAGGCGTCAAAGGCGGAGGCGGCGGCGCCCGAAAGTCCTCCCTGTACCTCGCAGGAGGCCCATACTCCTCCCTCTGCTCCCTGTCTACGTATCGCGTCAAAGGCTTGCGATCAAAGGTATCCAAACTCGACTGTCTCCTCAAAAACGCTGGCCTGTTCCCGCCGCGTCTCGGCAACGGATCGGGCTCCCGCTCCAAAAAGTCCCTCTCCCTCTCCTTCTCAAGAGTCACACTGGCTCCTCTGTTCCTCCCAAAAGGCCGCTCCCTCCCAGGCAAGTATCGCGGCCCATCATCATGGTATTGTCGACTCTCGTACCGATCCTCCTCGCAGACGCGGGGGCCTCGACGCTCGTAGATCTCGTCGACGGAATGCTCGCGCAGCGGTCCTCCTCGGCCGGGCCCTCGCAAGAACCCGCTTTCTCGTTCCTCGAAGCGGACCCGGTCTCTCTCTTGGGCGAAGCGCTCGCTGTCCCAGCGCTGGCCTCCGCCTCCACGGCCACCATAGTAAGACGACATGGTGTAGATATCAATATGCTATCCTTCTTGTTCCGTTTGTGTTTGTGGGGTTGCAAGGTCTGCTTAGTGGGATGTTGGGGATTGGACGACGCAAGTATGCTGGTAGTGAGCAGAGACGTGACTCGTGATTCGTAGCCGGCGACCAATGTCCGCCGCAGTCGTTGTTGGTTGCTATGAGTTCTCAGGAGATGGTCGATGATGGGTCTCGAGATGTGGATTGTATAAGAATTGTGCGGGAGGGAGAGATGAGGATGGGGGGGGGGGAGAAGGGGGAGGCTGGTGAAAGAAGGGATTTATGGCCGAGTCTGAGGTGGGTGGTGGTGGTGTCGTGTCTCGTGGAGGTATAGGTTTTGGTACGTATTGGTATTGATTTTAGCGAGCAGGGAACGAGGAGCTGGGGAGTGACGATATGGTCGACTGGGGTCATCCCGATTGTCTCATTGGGTAGCCACAGCCTAATTACGTGCAGTGTAGGCAGCGGGTAGTTGTATGTAGGTTTCTTTTCAGTCTTTCTATCCTCCGAGGCGCATGTACGTAGTATGTAAACATAGGTATGAGCAGATATATCTATATCTCGTGCCTGCAAAGCGCATTAATGCTGTACTCAAACCACGCACTTATTGGATTGCACTGGAACTTATGGACCATACATACCCCAAAATCAAATGGTCGAACAGAAACCCGTCTTACATTAATAAGCAAGCTGGAAAGCCCATCATGATCATGATCAGGATCAGGAATCAGGATGCTCCCTGACCGCCACTCCAGCCTGATGACGTAGCTCAGCCCAGCAGGGATGCCCCTCCTCCCGTCAGATGGTGTGTCCGAGTATACGGAGTACCGGTACAGCAAACAACTGCTACTACTACCAGTACTACAGTACAGTACAGTACAGTACAGCTACTACGTACATCTGATACGGACGGCCAAGATGCGCATGCTATCAAACATCATCCGTCCGCTACGACTTACTAACTACTACTGTACTGTACAGTAACTCTCCTTGGCCCCAGCCGGCTGCGTTGGCGCCCGAAGAGGCGTTTCATATCATCTGATTGGCTACGGAACTGGCCGAGCAGAGGGGCGGGCCGAGAGGAAGAAGCAAAAGGGGCCCCAAGAAGTGGCAAGAGCCCAAAAACGTCCCAGCCCCCAAAATACTACTAGGTACTACCAGTACAACAACGTGCCCATCCATTTCAGAGTGCATGGAGGACACCTGCAGAGGCCTGCAGAGGGGGTCGAACACGTGCCACGGGCGCGATACCATCTGCTGATTCATGTTGATGTTGATGTCTGAGATGAGATCGTAGCTTCGTGGTGGTGGTGGTGGTGGTGGTGTGTGTGTGTGTGTGTGTGTGCGTGTGGAGAGAGAGATCTTACCAAGAGTATCCCACCACCACTTGATGGCACACGAGGGCGACGGGGGGGAGACCACTGGTCGATGGAGGTGAACAAGAATCAAACAAGCATATTCTGTACGCACAACGTACTTGAAGTACGTACTACATGTGATACTGAGAAAGGGGAAAAGAAAAGTCCATCGGACCGGACCTTTGAGGGGCGGATACCGCCCTATCTATCCTACAACTACAACGACATCGATGCTCTAGGGATGCCACTTTCCAAACTCCCCATGCCAACCCCTCCCCCTCTATCTCCTTACCCCATCATTCGGGAAAGCAAGCGTTCGGGGAACACGTCAAGCTGTCAAAAGCACGCCCCTCCCAAGCCGAACGCCACGCCATGCCCGTTTCTAGAGTTCGCCGGGTACGCCGTTAGTGCTGTACCCAAAGACCCAAAGACCCAGAGACCCAAAGACCCAGAGACCCAGAGACCCAGAGACCCAGAGACCCAGAGACCCACTAGAAACCCACTAGAAACCCAAGCCCCTTTTCATTGGGAATCGTTCCTCGCCTTTCGAGATTTGAGGTAATCCCTCAATTGCTCATGTCTCGTTACAAAGAACATCCTCTTCGCATCGTTCTTCCACACCAAGACTCCATTTTCGTCCGCATACCTCGCGCACCCCTCATACTCCTTCTGCGTCTCGAACTCCTTGAACAGGAATCCAGCAGTAGCCTTCATCCTCTCATTCTCAATCTGCCAGAGTCGGATCTGGTCAACCACGGTAGGGGGCAGGACGGGGTTTCCGTTTACTGCGGCAGCCTTGACCAACTGCGGATGTGCGTGTGCCCTGAGGTATGATATAATTTGGTCCGATGTGATACCGTGGGAGATGGCATTGGCGACAGATTTGCGAGTCACACGGCCAGTGACCATATTCGGATACCGGACGCCCATTTTAGTGAAGAGAGCCAAAACTGCGATTTGGAGAGGGGAATTGGTATATGCGTAGAGACGATAGTTGGTTTCGATGATGATAAAACCCTTGGTACCACTTTCGCTCTTGAGGGCATCATCAAAGCCGGCAGAGACACTTCGAAGCCCACTGGCGTCTGAGGTGAGGGTCGTAGATAGTCGCGTCGGGAAGAACTGCTGAGGGGTTGAGGAAGGACTGTAGACGAGTCCAAAATCGACCAGGTATTTCAGCATCGCTCGCTGGCTGGCCGAAAGGGTAGCTGTGCTATATGACTTGCCCAGTTCGAGAGACCCGAGCATGAACAAGAACGAGAGAACCTCTACGGATTCCAGTTCCATCTATGCATGTTAGTTTTCAAAGCTCCAAGTCCATCATCATCCTCTCACCTTTTCAGCATTCTCGATCCAGAGCAGTAGCAGCGCCCACACCTGGGCATTGACTTCCTGCAATAGAAAAGAGAATCCAGCCTGCGTAATTCCTCCTCCTGAACGTCTGCCAGTCGTGACCAGCTTGCCCGCCTCTAGTAAAAGCCTAACAGATGTCGGAGGTCCGGTGCCATCTTGTCGCATACTGTTTCCTACGCTGTTGACCACAAAATGTAAGATGTCCTCCCATCTTTCCCTCGCATAGTTGTCGAGAAATTCAGCATCCACTCCTGAGGCCGTGGAGTCGTGGGACGGGATACCAAACGACTGTTGCTCTCCACCTCCAGTGAGGGCAAGTCGCAAGGAAGCGCGAAAGTTCTTTGTCAAGGATACTTTCTGCGGGTCGTCTCTGCTTGGGGCTGTGATTGTGACGATGTGAAGTCGAGAGAGCAAGGAAAGGGACTGATCTCGTTCTCTGCGGGGTGTTAGCAGGCACAGTCAAGACCATAAGACAGCATGCATTTCCTACTTTTTACTCTTTGGGTTCACCCAAAGTTCAAGGTCCGAGAGCGGCAGAGGTTTGCTCAGGTAAAGTAATGCCATAACGAATGTCTTACCTAGTTCTTGTTAGCTTGCGACCTTCCGTACGTGCTTATGTCGAGCTGTACCAAGATGAGGCAGCATGCGCCTGAAGATGGCGAGAGCTGTTGAAGGCTGCTGGTACAGTCGTCTAAACGTCGTACCTGGAAGCCTTTCCAGATACTCGAAAGATGCAAGAGTCGATACAGACATATTGGAGATATCGAAATCTCAAGATCTCAAGTCTGGAGTGATAATTGATTTATCATTACTCGGAAGTGTGGTGATTGTGATATAGGTAATAGTGAGGGAGAACCTCGTTATTGCGATTGATGTGAAGTCCCGCTATTATCTGTCGAAGCCTTGCGCAGCCTGGCCGGTGAATTGTGAGATTCGAATGGTCCGTGCGCGAATCGGCCTTCGGGGCCTCTCTGTCTCGTCCTGTTCATCAACGTTCCTCTGCCCTGTTGTTAATCGTGCAAAATGACTGCTCTGCGATTTGTCAGATCTGTAGGTCTGATCCAATTGCTTTCCGAGTAAGGCAACTCTGTTAACCGTTGGCAGGTCTGGAAGTCTTTCCAGGCAGAATCTGGCCTGGAGCCGAGGTGAGGACCCGTTCTCTTCCTACTCGCCGTAGTCAAACTTCTTCAATGAATGGGGTTGACTGTATAATTACTATACCTTCGCTTCTATCTTGTGGACTCCCTTTTCTTACAGGTTTCCTTACTTGATTATGTTCATTGCCTTTCCGGCGGCCAGCTGATATCATCCTGATGGCAGACTCTTCGGAGAGAATGTGAGATATCCTTCTCTACCTTGAACTTCTTTGTGGTGCTCTAGACTCGAGTGACTTCTCGTCTGGTCGTTTCTGATGTGTTAAAAGCTACGGGTTACGGCAGCTGAGCCAGGCCGAGTAGAGTTCGAGCTCGATATCAAGAAGGAGCACACAGTATGGCAACTTGTCTACCTCTTCATATAGCCTCTTTATTCATGATGCGTACAGAATCGTCTCAACATCATCCATGGAGGTTCCATCGCAAGCATGGGTCAGATATGCAGTCCAAATGGTCGAAGCTGAAGCTGATCGTTCGTCTCAGTTGACTTGGGAGGCTCCTTGGCCGTAGCTTCGAGGGGACTGTATGCTACCGGCGTATCAACTGATCTCAATGGTAATCGCTAGACTACAACACCCTTATATCTGGTCTGATTCAGTCGGCAGTCACATATCTCAACTCCGGCGGTCAAGTCGGGGATATTCTGAAAGCTGTCGTCAAATGTGACAAGTGTACGTGCCTCCGCCTACGCATCTTATCTCTTCTGACATGGATGCAGTCGGCAAGACTTTGGCCTACACATCAATCGAGTTCACAAACAGCAAGGGACAAATAGCGGCAAGGGGTAGTCACACGAAGTAAGTTCAATCGACGTGCCTGTCGGAACAGATAATTAAGTAGCACAGATACGTTTCTCAAGCGTGGAAGCATCCCGAGAATATCGTTGAAGAGCTGTCTCCTCACGAGAAGAAATGAGCTAGACTTGGCTCTATAGCGGCGTTGCGATGTTGTACAGAATTGGATTCTCTTCCTATCTCATGGAATCATCCCACACGGGCGTACGGCGTCCAGCGTGCAGCGTGCAGCGTGCAGCGTGCAGCACCCGGGGCAGAGGCTCATGAAATCCGTGTCGTAGAAGTGACGATGAAATAAGGAATTGAGCCAAGGTAAACAGAGTCACCTCTATGCTTGAGCATCAAAGCGATTTCGACGGAGAAGTCTCCGCACATCTCCAAAAGAAAAAAAAGTTGTCTCCTCACACCGTGCACAACGGCGGTTTCTGGTTTCTGGTTTCTGGTTTCCTTGCATTCGTTCCACCGGACTGCGGCTGTACCACAAACCCCGCCTGACCTGTCCAACCATCCAACATAAGGCAATTGAGCATCCGTACCACAGTTCCTACCAAAGGAAATGATCATGAGAGCCCACTGTCCCGTGACCAGCCATCAACCGCCATTCAAGATCTCGTTACACATTCCAGGCCACCGTTAAAACTTCAAAGCATGGATGCACGGTGGCTGTTCGGCAGGCTGCCGGTGGTGCCCGCTCATGATAATGCGGGGGATGAGATACGAGATGAGACTGGGGAAGAGACAACGGCGCCCCTTTGGCAACATTGAGGACGATCAAGCGGTATGGCACGTAAGAAGCTTCAAGCCTGCAACGACCCGACAGTCTTGGTAAATGAAAGCGCTGCGAAGAGGGCTTGCGTCTTCGTCTTTCCCTGGGGAACCGGCGTCCTCCTATCCTTCAATAGACCACAGGATCCCGGCAGCGTAACATCCGTCTCCGTGCCCGCTCATGAACACGCTGATCCAGTGCCGTAGCCCAGTTGCTGGGTGTTACAAAGCTCTAGTCATGCCATCCACACCTCATCCTCGCCCTCGTCTAGGGGCGAGTGCCTGCGAATCGATTCCCATGGACGTAGGACCGATTTGCCGGCCATGCAGATATAATGCTGCTGCTGCTTACCCCAGATTTGATTGCAAGTGTTATATAGCGAGCCGCTGCCGAGGAATGATCAAGCGATTTTTCCCTCGTGGGCACGTAGTGTTGAGCTTCGAGTGAGGCAGCTTCCGGACGTAAAGATATCGTCCACAGGCGCTCGAGTCACGGCAACATGTATCAATCCACTAATGTCTATTTCATCTGCTCGTTCGCTGCCATCGGTACGTTTCTTCCCAGGCACCAACTCCAATCGTGATATCGCAGATGAGTTCTACTAACTTCAGTAGGCGGTGGGCTCTTCGGATTCGACATCTCGTCCATGGCAGGCGTGTTGGGGACACAGGCCTACAAGAGATATTTCGGAGGCCCAAAATCCTATCGACAAGGGGGAATTACCTGCGCTATGCCATTCGGCTCGCTCGTGGGAGCTCTAGCATCATCTTTCATTGCCGACAGATACTCCCGGAGGACCAGTATTCAGATTGCATCTATTTTCTGGATCGTAGGATCCATGTACGTCTGCACCTTTCCCCCAAGCGAAGATGCGTGCTGAGACATCTGCAGAATTCAATGCCTCTCAATCAACATCGGCATGCTGGTCGTAGGTCGTGTCATAGCCGGGGTGTGCGTGGGCATAGCCTCATCAATCTGTCCCGTCTACCAAGCCGAAATAGCTCCCAAAGAAATCCGCGGCCGGGTCGTTTCGCTCCAGCAGTGGGCCATCACCTGGGGCATCCTGATCCAATATTTCATCCAATACGGCGCTTCTTGGGTAGGCGGCGGACCCGACAATCCCAACCAGCCAACATCCGCTTTCCGAATTCCGTGGGGCGTCCAAATAGTGCCCGCAGTTATTCTCTTCTTTGGCATGTTCTTTCTACCCCGATCTCCAAGATGGCTAGCCTCGAAGGATCGCTGGGAACAAGCCATACAGGTCCTAGCGAATATCCACGGAGGAGACGTGAATCATCCAAAAGTGCTGGCTGAGTACAAAGAGATCGAGGAAGCGCTGAGATTCGAGAGAGAAGAGGCCAGTAGCAGCTACAAGCAGCTGGTTGAGCCTCGCATGCTCAAGCGTGTCTTGCTAGGGATGTCGATTCAGATGTGGAGTCAGTTGTGCGGGATGAATATCATGATGTACTATGTCGTTTGCAAGTAATTTCTGATCTTATTTCTCTACCGACTCCTGACACCTCTAGATATCATGGAAGGCGCCAGTATCGCCTCGCCCCTGATTACAGCATCAGTACAATACATCCTCAACGTCGCGCTTACTCTTCCCGCCATCATCTACCTCGACCGGTTCGGCCGTCGTCCAGCAATGCTCGTGGGCTCTTTCCTAATGATGACCTGTCTCTTCATCGTGGGCGCCCTGCAAGCGTCCTACGGAGAGCCAAATGTCGGACCGCTCCAAAATAAAACCAACTCAGATATATCCTGGATTATTTCCAACAATAAACCCGTTTCGAAAGCCATCGTGGCATTCACCTACCTCTTCGTTTGCACCTTCGCTACGACCTGGGGACCAACCTCTTGGACCTATCCTTCCGAGATCTTCCCTACCAAGATCAGAGCCAAAGCCGTGAGCCTCGCAACGGCCAGCAACTGGTTCTGGAACTGCATCCTCGCCTTCGCCGTGCCGCCTCTCCTCTGGAACATGTAGGTCTCTCCCCGCCGCCGCTGCCCCCTCCCCTCACCCAGACCAACACCCATTCATCAGGCTAACTAACCCTCGCGTCTCGGTAGCAACTGGAAGATGTACATGATCTTTGCCATGTTCAACGGCCTGGCCTTCATCCACATGTTCCTCACAGCCCCCGAGACCAAGGGCAAGACCCTCGAGGAGATGGACGACGTTTTCGACTCGGGTCTCCCGGCCTGGAAGACCGTGCCTACAGGCTCGCGAATCGATCAGCTGCAGCGGGATATCGAGGCCGGTCGCGTCAAGATCACTGCGCCGGGCGCTAAAGCTGGCGCCGAGGAGACGGCGGAGGTGAAAAACGGGGGTGTTGTTGGTGGTGGTGGTGATGGAGACGTACGGTGAAGGGATTCGGAGCGGCGGCTGAATATCAGATGAGGGAAGGTTGGGTTTTCTTCCTGCGCAAAGAAGGGTGGTGGTGGTATTCAGGGCGGAATACCTGTCAGGAGGTGTTGGTTACCTAGTTAGCGTGTTTCCGTTCTTATTGATACCATTTTTCTCCTTCTCCTTCTCCTTCTTCTTCTTCTTCTTCTTCTTCTTCTTCTTCTTCTTCCTTCTACCCATCAAGAAGCGATCCCTCCCAGTACCGCTAGTGCTATCGCTAGCGTTATACATCAGATCACTTTTACTTGTATCGCCTATTTGCTACCTATCTACCTGCCTACCTGCCCTTTTTTTTCTTCTCATCTTTTCTGATCCTCGCTTAATTTTTATTCCAGAAGTGTTAGGGGAGGAGGCGAGAAGGGGGGACAGGTAGCAAAATTCATTAAATAAATGAGACAAGCAGTTCCATTCGGGCGCTCACCTCGCTCTCATTCCGTCGCTTATTCGTTCGCTCGATTGATTGCGGTTGGTCATTCCCCCCCCCCCCCAACCTAAACTTTCTTCTTCTTCTTCTTCTTCTTCTTCTTCTTCTTCTTCTTCTTCTTCTTCTTCTTCTTCTTC